AGTCACCGCGGTACAGTTGGCGACTGGCGAAGTTATAGAGATCTCCAAGCGCAATCTCACTAAAGCTGGGTTTAGATAGGGCAAGTCAATTGATCAAGTCAGTTGAATTCAACTGACTTGAACGCGAATTGAACGTGTAAACCATGCCATTCAACTGACTTGATCAACTCACTTGAATTGAAAAAAGTTGAACCAGGCTCAACTTTTCAAGCCAATTGAATTCAACTGAGTTGATCAAGTAACTTGCCTAGTCTAAACCCAGTTTAAAATCCAACATCCATTTATAAAAACGAAGAAGAAACAAAAACGCGGTCTCACCATAGAGGTAACTCTAAGACCACTGGGTCCCGAAGAAAATCATTATTATTTTTGGCTCACTCAGTACCAGAACAACGGTCCCAAGCAGTCCCAAGCTATTTCACTCACCCCTGCATGTTCTGCATGAATCCACACACCCCTGATGTTATCTGTCAAACTTTCATAGCGAATCAAAACAAACATAGTGTAGTAATAGAATTTCAACTAGAATAGGGTACGTTAATCGTTTGCTTGGGACCAATAGGCTACTAAAGTGAAGAGCCAATTTAAAATCGTTAGTTTCGTATTGATTGTTGGTCTCACGCACACTTTTGTGCATCTGGAGAACTCTATAGAGATCTCCAAGCGCAATCTCACGAACACTAAAATCCAACACCCATACGTAAAAACGAAAAAGAAGAAGAAACAAAAAGGTATCGCGATATCACAACTACTTAAAAAGGTAGCGCGCGGTCTCACGCACACTTTTGTGCATCTGGAGAACTCTATTTGATTCAATGCACGGAAAAAAATTAAGAACCTAAACTCATCAGGAATTCATCCATGCAAGAAGTCATGTTACAACTTAACAATTTGAAAGTAGACAAAATGCTCAGTGAGAACTCAGTGGATTAAAAATCATAATAAAAATTACAATTTGTGTTTCTGATTGTGTGTAATCTATTCAGATCAATAACACACACACACATAAACATACACATCACGCAGAAAAATAATTTTTAATTTCAAATGGATATATTTTTGACTCAGGGCCTAATATATTTTTGGTATTGATTCAAATGTAGTATTCGGTTGATTCAAAGACAAATATTTTTGAATCAACAATCCGGTTGTAGAGTCAATAATTTGTTTGTTGGTTCTAAAAACCATTTTGTTGATTCAAAAATATGTTTTGTTGAAATAAAGATACAATATGTTTGAATCAATAACAAAATACATTAGGCCTTGAAACAAAAATCAATTTTTCTGCGTGCACAAGGCAAAATTTCAACAAATTTGAAAGAATTTACAATATGCAATATTCAAATGATGTTATATAAAAATATTCTGAAAATCACTGCAAAAGTGTTCACTGAAATTCATTCTTTGCTATCTTGACGCAGGTCACTATGATTTGACGTTTCAGAGAATTTCTCTCTTTCGGTTTGTTTTGTTGTTATCTTTTTCATTCAACACGCGTAAACTCTTGTTGTTAATCCACGATTGTCGGTTTTAGTTCCCTCTTATTTATATTCTTTATGCAGAACATTCCTTTCATCTAGGATTCAGGGAAGATAAATAAAGAAAAAATCACATTAATTTGCGCACAGTGATTTTTTCCAGAGTTGATAATAGCAGAGTTACGCAGAGTGAAGCTTGCAACACTCCCATCACCATGTATACGTTATTTCTGGAGCAGAGGAGGAGGAGCCAAGAGTTTATTTGCCAGCATGTATATACAATTTCGTGAGCTGTTTCAGCAAAACAATTTGAAACTTCGGAAGATTTTCAAGATGTTTTCTAGCTCACTTGAAAAAAAAAAATCGGCTGAGTTCGCAGTACTCAGGTTTTACTCATTTGTTTTGGTAGAAGATTTAGTATTTAAAAAACAAGTCCGAACGTTCTGAATTTGGGAGCGATTGGTGAATGACGAGTTGGATTTACCAGCACCGGGCAAGTTGCCAAGCTAAAATGAAGTGATGCAGTATTTCATTGTTGGGGATGCAGCATTTCCTCTTAAGAATAACTTGCTCCGTTCATATCCAATGCAAGACAACTTCAATCAACGACTGTGCAGCTCACTGTGAGGACCATCGAAAACAGCTTTGGAATTCTAGTGGCAAGGTGGAGGATTTTGAAGAACACGTTATTTATGCTTCCAGGCTCGGCTGACAAAATTGTGAAAGCTTGTCCCTAATAATAAACAAATCAGTGCCAACATTTCAAAGGGGCGTAATTGTTTTTGTAAACAATGGCTTTAGACGTAGATTTCTCGCAAATGAAAACCCACCCCTTCAAATTACAAATGCTAGCTTATACAGCAAACATTCCTCTGCATGCTGGTGTCATTCTTTTTCATGAGTGTGCTTTCATTCGCGAGAAATCGACGACTAAAGCCATTGTTTACAAAAGCAATTACGACCCTTTGAAATGTTGGCACTGAAATATTATAAACGAACTGTATCCCGGATTGGTAAACTATCCCACAAATGGTTTGGACGATACCCCGAACACGTCGTTAAGCTCTCTTTTATGGTTATTTTTATTAGGGTTGTCATTTTGCACAACTTTGTAAAGAGGAATTCAACGAATGATTACTGCCCGCCATGCTTCCTAGATCGTATTGATGGTGATCTAAGAGAAGAGGTGACAATACGGGGGCGAAAAAAAACCACTTTTCTGTCAAACGCGAACCACTTCCTGATTGGTCGATTTCATGTGCGTAAGATAGAGATAGAGATAGATAAAGATAGAGATAGAGATAGAAATAAAAGAGGAAGAAGCCAATTGTCACCTCTTCCTCTTAGATGGTGATGGGAACGTCAGTGAACCTGATGAATAACGTACATTATAGAAGTTGATCCTCTGAGATGTATTAACTCTGCGGCCCTTCAGAGAGGCAACAATGCGACACGATCTGCATACGCTAGCCGAAATGTGTTGGCCAAACATGAAAAAACCCAGGTAATCATGACGTTTGATTATTGAAAATAATATGAATGAAGAAAAGAGATCAACTGCTGTCATGATTACCTGAGATTTGTCAAATAATGTAAATATTTACATCGATTGTATCGAAGAATTGTTAAAGGATATATAAAACATTGTAATAGTTTAAATTTTCTACAAAGCAATTTCTCTAGGTGTATTTTATTGAAAAATTTCACTGAAATTTGTTTGGGAATTGGGGTTGGCCCTTCTTACACACTTCTATTATACACAAAATACACTTCTGATTACGCTGATGTGAAGAACAAGCAACATGACGCTGCGTCAATTTTGAAAATTTTCAAAATTTAGCACAGCCTCAGCGTTTTAGTACTGGCGCGCAGCGAGCGCAACGCATCTTTGTGGGTTGCTAAACTGAATATCGTTGGCTCAAACCAAGCTGTCAGTTGACGCTGACGGTGACGGACTATTGTGGGTGGCCCTTATCATCTTCGGCGTTACTTCGGAAGCAGCTTGCCAACAATTTGGTCGTTTCCTTCTACCGACCCGAGTGAGCTATATTGGAAAGGCTGTTTGTCATGAAAAAAGGAAGAAGGATATATCATTATTGTATTACTTTCCATGCCTGACATAGCGTTATCGTTCAACTCGTTGATCTTGGTTGATTAATTGGTCTGATCTTTTATCCATGCCAAACGAGGTAGAGCCGTTAACTTCCCTTAAATTTCTTTGGACTCTGGTATTTTATATATTACTGTATTTATTAGGATCTCATTTTCGTATAAAATCTCCGGAAAAAATGTCGTCCCAAAACTGCACGCGAGGGCCTGTACACTGCAAATAAAATTCACGTAATATTCACCTGAAAAGGTACGTAAATATTTTCCATCGTACTTTTCAGGTGGATATTACGTGGTTTGGGAATGAAATGTTGTTTCAAGTGATTCATATGAAAATCAAGTGATTTTCACGTAAATTTTATCGGACGTTCCGATGATCGTCAAATTAGCTTCACTTAAAAGTTAGGTGAATTGTTTAGTAATCGTCACTGGATTTTGTAGTAATATTTATGTGAATTTTTGGTATGTTTCATGTGTTTTAATGCAGTGGTATTGCATTATACCATCCGGATTTTTTTTTAAATAAAATTTAACTTATTTGTTGAATTTTTACTTTATTATAATCAACATAAAATTGTTCTATTTAGTAACTATCGTGAGTATCAAACCTATTCTTAAATCTATACCCAGTGCAACAGGTTGTTGTTAAGTTGATCGTTCTGCATTTGTTTGCTCCTCAATGCTCAATAATAATTGCTGCTTCTGAATAAAGTTAAAGTTGGTTATTGGTTTATTTAAAACATTAAGTTTGATCCTTACATTTATTTTCCTCCATCAACTGATGACTTCGAAAAGGACATCATGTCTCCAATAGACGTCTTGTAAGCACTCCTGTAGTTCAGCGATTAAGCTTGTGAGGACTGCTCAATCCGATTTTACGCTCTTTAATTTATTTTGGGTATTGAAAATCAGGATTCATATATTGATATTAATCAAACTTACGCTCACAAACATTAAAAATCCCCAATCTCCTAGTAACAAAAATCACATATTTTCAACCGGCGCCATTTTGAACTAACAAATACGCAAAAACAGTTTTCACATCATGAGGTCACTTAAAATTTACGTGAACTTCACTTAATATTTATCTGTATAACACTTGAACTCCATCAGTGAATCTAGTGGAATTCATTACCATGCCATTGATATTTATGTGCAGCATGTAATTCTTATTGGATTTCTATTTTTGAAAGGTTACCTGATTTTTCAGGTGAAATTTACGTTTCTCGTTAGTTCAGTGTATGAATCCAAGATCGTCATACTTATTGAAAACCTCCACATATCACTTTCCTTCATTCTTTCTATATCTAAGTAAAAGATCCGAAACTGATTCAAGTAAAAGCTAAACTTTATTAACACAATAGTCATTTTTGTCTTACAGCCCAACAATAAGACATGGTTTGCTTAAAGCTCGACTTTAAAATTAAACACTAGAAACACATAAAACCGCGCAAAGGCCCAAGCGAAGCGTCTACTGATACTGCCAAACGGCAAAGTTGACCGCGCCGTCCGACTGCGGCCGGAACCGTTCGATCGTAATGTTCTCATCGAACACGCTGTCCACGTTGTAGAACCGCCGCAGTTCCTCGATGGCTCGCTCCTCGATCTGCGTGTGGACCAACGATTTGGACTTGATCTTTTCATAGTACTGCTTCTGCTTGCGCTCGTCCTCCAGGATTTTGCTGAATTCTTTTTGAGCTCTGTCCGGTTTGGCAATGGTGGTTGTGGGCGTTGCCGCACTGATGGAAGTCGGCTGCATTGATGGTTTGGGCGAGGAAGCAATAACGTGCGGTGATGGTGAGTGGTGATAGTTGGTTAGTGGCGAGGCAGGTTCGAAGCTTCCGTTGCTGGTGGAAATTTTCCGATTCCCGCAAGGTGACGTTACTGCGATCGGTTCGGACTTGAACATGTCGGCAGCGGAATTGTTGAGGTTTTTCCATGGGTTAGCAGGGGTAATTTCCGGCGATGCAACCGGTATCAGTTCTTTTGGTTTCTCAGAGGTAGAGGAGAGACGTTTCCGTTGCTTTTGCGATAGTTTTGGTTTTTGGACGGCAAAATCGCTGAGGTTGAACGTGGTGATCCGGGAGCTGCTGTAGCCGGAGTCATACTCTTCTTCTTTCTTTTCCGGAGTCGCAGTTGGGGAGGGTAGTTCTTTTGCAGGAGAAGACGCCTTTTCCAGAATTGATCTAAGATTGGAAAAGTTTTCCGTTCCCTTGGATTCGTTTTTGACGATTTCGTTAGCTTTCAAAGCTGCCGGTATGGATTTCTTTTTGGGGTCCTTTTTGTCAACGACTTTCTGCCAATTTTTGATTTCCTTTTCCGGCACGGCCTGATGTCCGTTCTCGCCATTTGAGATTTTCTTCTCTTCTGATTTCGGAATGGGAATCTCCTCGAAAGACAAATCTCTTATGTATCCCATTGCCTCTTTTTCGTAGTTCCTCTTCTCCAGCTGCATCTTTGTACTCTTTGGAGTAATTTTGCCTTTGGGGGTTTTGCTTTTCGTTGTTGACTCGTTAACTTTAACGTTCATATCCACGAGGAAATCTTCCACAAATAGTACCAGCTCTTCGTCCGAAATAGCATCCGCCGATGGCGTGATCGTCCTGTAGTCGGCAAGTTGGTAAAAGTCCTTGTAAAACTGATCAATCTGTGTCAATACCGGTGGTTCAAGGCATTCTAGCGTTCGCAGTTCCAGCACCTTGGCCAGATTGACGCTGATGAATTGCATGCAGAGGTTCTTTAGCATTTCGCAGTTGTACTGGAAGGCATACTGGAGCAGTTCACCCACGTTCTTCAGATTGATCCGATCGGCGATGGTCACCTCAAAGAGGGTTTTCAGTTCTTCTATGAAAAACTGATCGCAAATGACGACCATATTGAAGAGGAAGCTTTCCGAGTACTTTTGATCGCGAATCTTCTGGTAGTCGTTGTTGTACAGAAAGTCCACAATCGGTTCCATGTACTCCAGCGGGATGGTGGTCAGATTGACTGTTTGACTCTGGAAATTTGGGAGAATGTGAGGGTGGTTTTAGAAAATCATGTACAGGAAATTCTACCTCAGTCCAAGTGTGGCTGAACATCATATTGAAGTACTCGAGTCGAGCTATCAGTACGCATTTGTGGGCTTTGATCTCCTGATTGTCCTGCAATCGAATGGTCACGTCCATTAGGTCCGGATAGGAATCCCGAGGTAGCTTTGGATAGTCCTCTATCGTTGGGTGGTCCGATAAGCTGAAATTTTAGATGACGTTCAACATAAATTCAATTCAATTTTATGCATCGATTTAACCCACTATAGATAATGGAATGTTAGTTGTAAAAAATATTCATAACTCCGATACACTATCTAAAAATACGACCGCCATAAATATGAAAATGACAAACCTCTTCAACGACTCATTCAAAGCTCCGATTTCCAACTGCTTGAAGATCTTTCGCAGTCGCGTCACCATTTCATCTGTACTCTCCTTATCCACTGTCGCTCCGGGATGCAACAGCGTAACGAGCCTCTCAACATCCTCGCGTGACAGCACTACATTTGTGTAGATATACCGGAGCACCAGTTCGAAGATTGAAGCCGTTAAACCTTCGTACCCCTTAAGGTGGATTTCCTTTTCGTTGGCTTGTTTCTCAGCTAACTTCCTCAAATGTCGACAGCGTTGGTAAATGATGAACCTATGCACTGGAAAGGATTGGTAGTCTACGACCAACACCAGATCATGCACTCCGTCCATTTCGTGCGCTTCGATCAGAAGCTTGTCAAAGTCGTAGTTGGATTCTTCCAGCTCTGGCACGTTTAGGCAGCGACGGGAGTTTTCCTGTAGATAAGGAAACGAACGAAAGAATGAAATAGTCTAAAAAATAAACTTTTCGACATACCAGCAAAGCAGCGAAGTTTTCCCCATCGTCATCGCACACGAAATCGGCTACGTTGTTCAAATTCCTTATCCGCTTCAACTCGATCCTCGTCTTGGTGGTGGTGCTCATCTCCTTTTTCGCATACGTCTCCGTATATTCACTGATCTGAGTAACTGCGTGCGCATTCAGCTTGTGCGTTATGGTTCCATAGTATAAGTTCCCCATCAACAAGACCAGCGCATTGTTATTGCACCACAGGATCTTCTCGATTTCCAAATTTCTAGACTGAGCAAAAACGCATCGCACAAACTGCTGACAATCCTCGTACCAGATGTAGATGTTCCTCGAAACGGTAAACGCCAGAATCCTCAGCTGCTTGCTCTGCTTCGGGGCGTCCTCCTTTTTGCTTACAAACTCCCCTCCCGAAACGGAAATGCATGCGAACTTTTCCATCAGTGGGTTCTTGTACGTCCTACGCTTAAAATTATTAAATATATACAAGTAACTCGACTTGGTGTAAACTACAATTGCTGCATTGCTTGATTCGACTAGCTTGATTGTGGTGTCCACGTTGGCGACTGCCAGCTTGTCCTTGCCCTGTTCAATTTCCAACGGAAGTGGCCGTGGAGACATCACCGGATTCACTTCCTTCTTCATGCCAAATTGACCTCCATTCTGACCCCAAACATACACATCCGCTTCGCAGATCGCCATTGAGTGGAAGTCTTTGGCAATTATTCGACTTATTCGCTTATCTCTGGAAAGATAATGATAAGAGCAACAATTTGATCACCAACATCTGACAAAACTTACGCAAAATTGTGCAATCCTCCGATTTCCTTAAATGTCAATTGCTTCTCCGGAGGTGGCTTAATTCCTAGCTGGCAGTAGTTGTTCTCTCCACAGGAGTAAATCTACAAGTGTTCCATCAATATTTTACGTCTAAAAAAAAAACCCAAAATCCAACCATCCTTACACAATTATGATCAGACAATAGCAACGTGTGATGTCTTCCGGTACTAACGTCTATTATTCGTTCCTCAGCGCTTCTCGTGTGAACGGATACTTTGGTCGGGAATACAACCGTATTCTCGGCGCCATTCCCTAACCGACCTCCGCGACCATGTCCGGTGGCATACACGTCCCCACTCTTCGTCAGGAATACGCTGTGATACGAATTGATGGACATCTTCTCGATCGTTAGCCGGTGCTTCCGAAAATAGTCAACGAAATCGGGATTGTCCCTGCCTTCAACGTTCCCAATTCCGAGATTATAATTTTTGTTCTTACCCCAGACCACTATCTCGTGACCGATGCCGCTGCAATTGCAAAGAAAAATATCTCAACCAGTTACCACAGCACCCATAAACCTACATGCACCTACTTGTCCTTGTGCTTCGGGATGTTACTGCAAAGCTGCAAAGGATTCACGAAATCCTCGTCCGGAACGTCAATAACGGCTCCATGTTTCAGCAACAGAGAGGCCACACCAACGCAACCATAGTACATTGCCCGATGCAGTGCCGTGTGGCCGGATTCACCATCCTTCAACGCTATGTTGGCCCCGTTATTTAGCAACCATTCGGCAATGGCGTACCGTCCGACCGATGCCGCCAGGTGAAGGGCACTTCTTCCCTATAAAACAATCACAGAATTAGCCAAATTCCCTTCAAACAATCCACAACCCACCAACCTGATCGTCCAGTATTTCGGCAAAATTGCGGCAGATTTTCGCCACATAAGCCACCAGCAGCTCGTCCGAGACGGACTTTTTCGTCAGCGCCGCAGTGATCGCATTGCCGTGGTGGGGCAGGTGGCACTTTCGCGTACACTCGTAGTCGTAGTTGCTGATCGACGAGGTCATCTTTTGGCGGAAACTTCGCTGATGGAAGTGGTCCGGGGAGTAGATTTCCAGACTTTATCCGTGGAAAACAGATTTCGCAATCGGAGAAACCAAAACAAAAACTGCGGCACCACACTCGTACGATTTTCTGCGTACACACAAAACAGGTGACGTTTCTTTCGGAGGTGTTTCGCGATCACACGACGAATAAGAAGACTCGAATCAACTGTGGTAATTTTAATAAAAACAACAAAAACAAGCAGTACTGCCAAGCGTTGCCAGATTGTTTTAAAGCTTATTGGCAAATCAAAGTTGACACTCGTGGAGAATAGAAGAACTATGAAAATGATGATGGTTTCAAAATTTTCCACGGGAAGGTATACGAATGCAATCTTAAAATGCTTTTATTTTTCAAATGGAGCATTTTATTTAAATCTGGTTTCTGCTATAGTGGTAGAAAAGCTGAAATCCATGTATACACTTAAAAATCAGGAAAGAAATTATTTTTTCTATATTATATGTTTATTGAGTAGTCCTTATGTTTTCTACTAACGTAGCATTAACCAGATTTAAATAAAATGCTCCATTTGCAAAATAGAAGCATTTTAAGATTGTACTCGTATACCTCACCGTGTAAAATTTTGAAACCATCATCACTTTCATAGTTCTTCTATTCTCCACGAGTGTCAACTTTGATTTGCCAATTGGTGTCAAAGGTTTAAAAGTATCAGTATTTATCGGTACTTTTAGGCCTTTTTAACGGGAACTAAACTATCGATTCAACCTCTGGTGGTGAATAGGAGAACATTAAAAAGAGTGTTGTGAGCAGAAATTTTTGTCTTGAGACATAGGAAGCAGAACACTTTTTTACTTTTCCTGATAAATTGATTCATCTGAGATGCTGCAAAACTTAATCTACAGTTGAAAAATTTAATTCTGTAACGTTTTGGAAAAGATCCTGCTGGTGTTCAGGAATATTTTTGTTGAGAAAAATGAAAAATTAGAAAAGTACCTTAGTGGTTATGATCTTGCGGATTTCTTGTGTGTGAATAGTTAAGGTGCAAATCAGTTCAGATTTGTGGAAAATCGTACAATAAGACAATTACCGATGGAAATTGGCAAGATTTTGAATGAAAAATGCTGTTATTGCGTTGGGTAAAATACTTATTCCGATGTAAAAAAACGGTTTGGTTGACGCTTCTTCTCGAACTCGCGTGGCGCACTCTACGTTGGTGGTGCATTAAAAAGGCGTATTGACAAAGTGGTCACATTTGATCAATGTCCTATATACAAGGTCTGGCCAAAGGGCTTATTGGTGTTAGTGAAATGTGCAAATATTTAGTGGTGTTCGTATTTCATTGCAATGTTTATCTGTTTATACGAAACAGCTGTTGGCAGTGACGTAATACAATCTGTTTGCAGTATGTAATGTTGGCTAGAGTGACATGGTCATTTGAGTGCTCCGCAATGTTTACAATATTTTTGCTTCTAACACCATCAAGTTGCCTCCTGTTGCTCAGACCTTATATTGAGTTCTCCAAGCCAGATCTCACGAACACTACGCTATAATATCACAAATATTTTAATTTCAATAATTTCAAGTACTGTGAGATAACTCGCAAGCCGAACGCTTCTTGGACTACAAAATACTCAAAACCGCGAACCAGTCATTTACCAACCAAACTGCCTGACACGCCTGAATTTGACATTTGTTACAATTTACTGGAACACGCTGGAACATCCAGTCGCCCTAATAAAAATGTTATGGATAATTTGCTTAACGACGTGTTCGGGGTATCATCCAAACCATTTATGGTGTAGTTCAATCATTTGGGTTATCGTTCGTGTCTGGTTATTTTTTATTAGGGCGAGCATCCAGTAAACATATTTCAGATTTCTGATTTTCCAGCAAAACTTGAAAAAACTGAAAAAAAAATGATACGACAGCGGGGCCCTGTTTATTAAAAATCCGGGACGGGACTTGACAATCGAGCTTCTCACTCTTCTTAATGTTTTTAAAGAATGCCCTTCGGAAATTTGTGCGTGGTGTTTGTCGGAGTTGACTAATGATGCCAGGAATGTATTTTTTTTTTTCTATTTTAATTTGGATTTTATTCGGAGTTTCTACCGCAGTTCAGAAGCTTGTACATAATTTTTGCTCAAAAAAATATAAACAAACAACAATATCCATTGCTTAAAACACACAGTGCACTCAATTTTTCAAATTTCCTTTTGCAAATATAAACAATTAACAACGCCACCAGCGTCAACATTGATTCCGGCATCACTAGCAGCCAGATTGATGCGATCCCTCTGTCCTTTTCATTCCACGATTGCTACTGTCAAATCGACCAATCAGAAACTGGGATTTGACAGCATTATGGTCCATTAAGGGTGTTGAGGTAAATGCATATTCGTAATCTGCATTAAAAATGAAACCTAAATCCAAAATTTCATCAATTTTGGTACACTGGAACTATCTATATATATAAAAATGAATTTCTGTCTGTCTGTCTGTCTGTCTGACCCTTATAGACTCGAAAACTACTGAACCGATTGGCGTGAAAATTTGTATACATGGGTTTTTGGGGCCGTGGAAGGTTCTTATGATGGTTCGAGACCCCTCCCCTTCTGTAAGGGGGGGGGGGGCTCCCATACAAATGAAACAGAAATTTCTGCATAACTCGAGAACTAATCAAGCAAATGGAACCAAATAAGGCATGTGGGGGCGAGTGTGGGGGTATAAGGAGATAATCATAGGGGGTAGCCCCTTAGATAATAGGGGGGGGGGCAACGTAAAATATAGCATGCTTTTTTTTTAAATCGGCGCATAAACTCAAGCTAATATTGAATCCCGAGCAAGACCGGGCACACTCAGCTAGTTTTAAATAAGTACGATTACATTTGTAAAAATCACCTTATTAGCGCCCTCGGTGTCACTTTATATGGGAGTGAGCTGTCAGTTTGTTAGTTTAGTGTCAAACAGTGAAGTTGTTATTTTACTTTAAATCTTGATTTAAAAATCGAGATGAAAGCGTGTGGGTTCGAAAAAAATATCGCTGTGCTCAGAAAACGAAGCTCTTTTAGATGATGTATAAAAAACGATACATTTTTCAAAATTAAAGAACCCAATACGCCTTTTTAATAGAAACTAAACGATCGATTCAACCTCAGGTGATGAATAGCAAAACGTCAAAAAGAGTGTTGTGAGCAGAAATTTCTACCGTGAGACAGGAAACGGAACACTTTTTTACTTTTTCTGATAAATTGATTTATTAGAGGTGCTCCAAAATTTGATTAAAAGTTGAAAAATTTAATTCTGTAACGTTTTTGCAAAGATCCTGCTGGTGTTTAGGAATATTTTTGTTGAGAAAAATGGAAAATTATAAAAGTGCCTTAGTGGTTATGATCTTCCGGATTTCTTGTGTGTGAATAGTTAAGGTACAAATCAGTTCAGATCTGTGAAAAATCGTACAATAAGACAACCCAACAAACAATTTCAGTCGATCAACAGCTGAATAAGCTATTTTTTAGCTGAAGAAGCATGTTTTTGCCTGAATAAGCTCTTATTCAACGCCCAATGTTTGTTGGGAATTACCGAAGGCAATTGGCAAGATATTGAATTAAAAATGCTTTAATTTGCGTTGTGAAAAATAGTTATTCTGATGTAAACAAACGGTTTGGTTGACGCTTCTTTTCGAACTCGCGTGGCGCACTCTAGGTTGGTGCTGCATTAAAAAGGCCTATTGGCTCGAAAACGCTACCCGATTGGCAAATCAAAGTTGGCACTCGTGGATAATAGACGAACTATGAAAGTGATGATGGTTTCAAAATTTTTCACGGAGAGGTATACGAGTGCAATCTTAAAATGCTTTTATTTTGTAAATGGAGCATTTTATTTAAATCTGGTTACTGCTACAGTGGTAGAAATGCTGAAATCTATGTATACACCTAAAAATCTGAAAATAAATTATTTTTTTCTATATTGTATATCTATTGTGTAGTCCTTAAGTTTTCTACTAACGTAGCATCAACCAGAATTAAATAAAATGCTCCATTTGCAAATTATTAGCATTTTAAAATTGAACTCGTATACCTCACCGTGTAAAATTTTGAAACCATCATCACTTTCATAGTTCTTCTATTCTCCACAAGTACCAACTTTGATTTGCCAATTGTCAAGTCCTGTCCCAGGTCTGGAATGAAACAAGTAAAATTAATTGGCAAATCAAAGTTGGCACTCGTGGAGAATAGACGAACTATGAAAGTGATGATGGTTTCAAAATTTTCCACGGAGAGGTATACGAGTGCAATATTAAAATGCTTTTATTTCGAAAATGGAGCATTTTATTTAAATCTGGTTGGTGCTACGTTAGTAGAAAACTGGAGGACTACTCAATAGACATATAATATAAAAATAATAATTTCTTTTCAGATTTGTAGGTGTATACATAGATTTCAGCTTTTCTACAACTGTAGCAGCAACCAGATTTAAATAAAATGCTCCATTTGCTAAATAAAAGCATTTTAACATTGCACTCGTATACCTCCCAGTGGAAAATTTTGAAACCATCATCACTTTCATAGTTCTGCTATTCTCCACGAGTGCTAACTTTGATTTGCCAATACCCACAGTTGATAACCTTCCTTGCCCCTTTTTCGCTTCTACGCTTATGAGTCCGGTTTATGACACCTCGATCCTTGTCGGACATGTTTGTATTGTTTTTGTTGACGTTCTCCAAATTTTCACCCAAAGTCGTAAGAATTCCAAGTTTTCGGTGAAAATACGTTAAGAATTTCGTGTTTTGTAACCAAATACGAATTTCGTTCCGTTCGCTAGTGTTTTGTTCATTGGGTAGTACAAAGCTTCGGTTTTAAAATCCTAACAATCCGGAGTAAAACCGTTCGGGAAAATATTGACACAAAGAAAGTGCGTCGACTATTTTGCTCGGTTTGTTTTCGGGTCAGGGACACCGATTGCCAGAGAGTATTTTCTTCGCAAAACATCTGGAGCGGAACGACGATACGACGACGAAGTACCGAGCCTTGAACCGTTTGAGGGCGAGTTCCCCTAAACTGGTGCGCAGCTCGCTAGCCCGCCGTTAGTGATGACTGTAGTCTACCCGAGAAAAATGCTGTCGCGTTTCCATCCCTACCATGGCCAAAACATTATCCTGTTCGATGAGAACACGGTTGCCTATCGGAAGGCCAGCTTCGGCAATGCTCTGACGTTCAGCGAAAAACCACTGCAGCCGGGAGAGATTTTCCTGCTGGAAATAGAGAAAAACGAACGCGGCTGGAGCGGACACATGAGACTTGGTTTGAGTTGCTAGAGGGTTTCGTTTAGGAAATTGATTATTTAAAACGGTATCATTTTGCAGGTCTCACTCAGTTGGACATAAAACCGGCTTCCACTCTTCAGTATGCGCTTCCAGACTTGGCCAATCTCGGCTCTAGTTGGGTGTTCCCCATCACCCGAACGGTGGGAAATGCTGCTCCGAAAAGCAGTATTCTAGGGGACGGAATTAATGTTAAAACTTCCCGAGGGGCGTTCCCGCGTAGCTTGCTGCGGCCCATCTCGCAGGACGGGGCCAGCGCGGATATTCTTCCGACGGATACGCATTCACGGATTGGGATAATTTTTGTACCGACGCCGAACGAGGCGGATAAAGCTGAGATGCACTTCATTATCAACGGAGAGGATCAGGGCCCGTGCACGCAGGACATTCCGTACACTAAGGGAGCACTGCACGTAGTGATTGACGTCTATGGCACAACCAAACAGGTGAAAATCATTCAGCTGTATGGGATTTCCACACTTCAGAGCGCCTGTCGGGATGCGATCCTGTCGAGGGTATCGAAAACGTCTATCCGGCAGCTTCCGCTACCGGAAAGCTTGAAGGAATACCTGCTGCAGTATGGACCGTGAGCAGGTAAGGTAGGATCGGTTTACGTTTTGCTGCTTTCAATGATTGATTTGATGAGTCGAGACTGGGATATTATTTCCTCTTTAGTAATGTTACGGTATTGTGCGGGAGGGGTCCGATTTGAGCGGGACAAGGGTTCGAATCGAGCAACTTCCTTCGGCTGGCAGCGGGTATCGGTACCCATTTGGGCCAAATCTCTGTGTATAATCGGAAACATATTATTTTGATTTAACTTTGTGATATATCTTGAATCAGCAGAGGGATGGCTTTCATTTCCTTTGTTCCTAATTGACAAACAAGTTTAGTAGGATGGAGAACTTTTTCCCAAATGATATGTAAGGATACTCTACTGGTAGGAGTGTAAGAGATAATATATGTAAAATGAAATAGCAGTCAGCGGGGGTAGTTTTTGGCTGAAATCATATTCGAAATCCTTCAAGGAGCTGACCGATTGGATTTCTTTCAGTATAAAATAAAACATTAATCGTATAACTAATGTATTCAAAAAGATCTCACAAACATAACTCAATTCAGGTTGCACAACGCTGAACTTTTCTGCAAACAATGGCACCCGCACCCGGTGGCACATTCGTCGTATTTGTCGAACCATATTCGCATGTGCTCGGTGTGACCACCGTGGCCGCAGTGAAGGCACGCGTTGGCAGCCCCTCGCACCGGAAGCCTACAAAGTGTACAATATAGCACTGGCTTTTTGCAAGTGGAACAAGCTGGCGATCCGATCCGGCAGCACAGAGGACACTCCGTTACGAACTCCACGCACCGCGGTGGATCCACATAGCTAGACAGATACTTTAGGATTTTTGTGCGAGTGACCAGCAATCCCCAGCGGTACAACATTTCCGCGTAGGCACGCTTGAAGTTATCATAGATATAACGATTGCTATCGCCCAACAGACTACGGTTGATGTCCCCTAGGCCGGCTATGCGACAATCGTCCAACGAATCCGACCACGAATTGCTCCGCAAGTGTTTCAACTGCTGAGCCAAGTTCCAGACGTTGTTGGAATTAGCACTGTCCACCGGCAGAATTGTATGGTACGGCGATCCACTTGGCTATAGTTTGGACGAAATAAGAGTAATCAATGCAACTAATGCTCGACAACCTCCACACTCAAACAACCTTATTCTTAAACTAGTCTCTGAACTAAGCAAGTTATGTTCATGCATATCCGTTAGGTGCCCGGAAAACGTGCAAATGCTGCGATGTTCAAATGTTTTAGTTTTAGTTCGCGCTTATGATCGCAATAATCTGATAAACTAAGTTAACTCGTTAATTGTAATGATAGCCTGATATTCCATATGCAACTGGGGAATGATTAAACCACTAAAAACAACCAATTACCTTGATTTTGCGCAGACCACTAAGAAAGTGCTATAAAGATGGGTGAAAAAAATAAATAAATCCAATGTAAAAGGGAGGGAATTGAAAATTATACCAACACAACACAGAAGGTTTTAGTTCATCGAAGAAATGTTAGCGTGTTAACAAATATCTAAGACCACATGGACTACTGCAGGAGGATGAATATATTTTCTTAACAGCTATGGAGTGCGCAATTTGCGAGGAGGAATAGTTATGAACGTAACATTATTATTCACATATAAGAAAGCAAAAATGATAATTGCCCAATACTTTTCGATTGGGCAGAATTGCGGGCATTTGGGTGGATTGATATCAAGACGAAACTTTGACCCAGCGTTGCCAGATTGTTTTAAAGCTCATCGATATCGAAGGTATTCAAAAATCGGTATTTATCGGTATTTACTATTTAATTAATCTTATATGTTTGCCGTTTTTGAAAGCAAAATTTTTAACAATGGAATTGCTTTGTTTAACGGCTTTCTCAGTCTTAAAACACTCTTTAATTTTTTAATTTAATTTTTAAAATTATCGTTCTCCTCAAATGGTGATCGAAATTGTGACCAAGTAGTTTTTTCAATTAAATATCATTAAATGAAACCAAAATATGGAAAATCAGCCACAACAACGACTAAACTATTGACGGCAAACAATATTTTCCCTTGAAAAAAGCTACAACCCATGGCCGAAATGTCGGGCAGATTACATCGTAGTCGTTGCAGCCGAGAAAGCCGTTAATCAAAGCAAAATTTTAGCTTCTGAACTATGATCGAAAAATTCCGGAGAAAACTCCGGGGAATGTTTGAATTAGCTTCTGAGTGGAGCTGAAAAACCATCCAAAGAAAGACGAAAGAAGCTCTCTTGGATGAAGTTCGAGAAAAGCTGGAAAAACATCCAGGGAATTTCCAAGACACGAATTGAGAAACTTGTGGCAAAAACTTAAATAAACTATCGGAAAAAAATCGAATGTCACATCCAAAGGAAGCCAGAAGAGTTTCGGAAACCCGAGGTAGATTTCCAGAAGTAGCCATTTCTATAAAAAGCCAGAATAAGCTCGGAAAAACCTGTCAATATAAGTCGAACAAAAAAAATCATTGGTCAAACTTCCAGAAAAAGACGAAAGAAATTTCTGGGAGAATTAACTGAACTTCCTGGAGACGCTGGCAGAAACTTCCTAAGGTAGATTGGAAGAAACGTCTGAAGAAAGCCGAAAGCCAGAGCGCTTACGGAACAGTCGAAAGAAACAAGGACATAATTCCGGAAGAAAGAGATTCCTGGGGGATAAACTAATGATCCAGAAAAGTTTCCTGATATTCATAAAACATCCCTGAAGACTTTGCAATTTCCCTGAATTTTTCGAAACATTCCTGAAGTGCACTTAGGAATATTCCATAACTCCTCGAAATTCCTTAAAAGTTCTTGTAATTTTTCTGAAATTAGGGGCTGTTTTTTGGAGTTCTCTGGTCATCTTCGAAGCGCTGGGAATTTCCATGATTCTAATGAGAATACCGGAATATCTCTAATCATCTCTGGTCTCTGGACTTTCTTGAAGATTACGAAATCTCTTAAGTGCTCTCACATTTTTTTTTAAATTTATTGTAACATCATCATTGAAGTTCTTCCCGATTTATTTTTTTATTTTTTAAAGTGATCGACACTGCCATTAACTTTCCATAAAATGTTCTCACAATGTTCTAATGTTCATGTAACTTTCCTTACGTTTCCTAAATTTGCATGAGCCTCTCAGGACATTGCTAAAGTTTTCGGAAATTGCCTAGGTTTCTCGGAACTCCTTTATAATTTCAGCAATTTCATTGAATTTCATTGATCTGTCCTGATGTTCTCTGAGCTTCACTAAAGTTCCTGAAAACCCTGAAGTTCTTTGAACTTGTGAAGTTTCCAAAATATTTATGATGTTTCCTTAAGTTCACTGGAGTTCACTGAACTTTTCTGAAATTTCCGGGTTTTCTAATTTCAACAGAAGTTTATAAAACTGTCTTTAATTAATCGAAACTAACACAAAAGTCTGGACTTTTCTGAAGCTTCCGAACTTCTTAAATGTTCCTGCAGCTAGTGTGGATCCGCAATAAAAATCTGATAGCATCATTGAAGTTCCGGGAAAGTTAAAAAAAACTGGCGGGAGTAGATGAAAGAATCATTCGAGTGAAGGCTGAAGAAGCTTCCAAGGTAAGGTGGAAGAAAATTCCATGGAAAGTTGGATGAAGCTTCAGAAAGTTAAAAAATAAATAAAAACGTCCGGAAATTAAATAATGTTTAAAACAGCAAAAAAGGTTATCTTCCATTTAATTCCACTTAATTAATTTTGGTATCCATGACAGATACGTATTTCGACTACAATGTGCAGTCTTCATCAGTGTCATTCCCACTAAAGAACTTATCAAGCCTTTGGGGATTTTCCTAATAATTTATAATTTCCTATAATAGCGAACTAGGACAACTTTTAAGGAAGGTACAAATCGGTTTTTTCATCTCTCTTTACCAAACTCCCCCTTTGGAGAGGGATGGTGAGGGGTGTCCCCCCCTCCCGCCACCACTGGCAAACACCCCTCACCTTCCCTCTCCAAAGGGGGAGTTTGGTAAAGAGAGATGAAAAAACCGATTTGTACCTTCCTTAAAAGTTGTCCTAGTTCGCTATTCTAATATCTATATACAATCTTCACACTGCCGTACTCTAACGGAACTATCAACTCTATGCTTTCATCTACTCCATCTATCGTATAAAAATTACCACTACAGTCTGTTATTTGAAATTAGCATCTTCAACTACAAAAAAATGGATTTCTTCGGGACCCAGTAGTCTTAGAGGAGTTACCTCTATGGTAGGGCCTAGCTTTGGTTTGAAATTTTTCAGTCATCGGCTCTTCTACGTCACTAGGCCTATCAATGAAATGAAATAAATTAATAGTTGGCCATTTTAGCGTGCGGGCCTATTAATGAATTGAAAAATTTCGTTTATCGGCCGTTTCGAAAATCGAGTTATTTTTAATGATTTTTCTCGATTATGCGGAACTTTCCTACATGATTAGTTATCAAGCGGTGCTAAAGAATGGCATCAAAACCCGATTTGTTTACGTTATGGACATAGGTCCATTTCAAATGTTAATCGAGATATTAGTTGTACACGCTATTTCAAAACTACCCAAATTTGGGTTCAATCCACCCAGATCGGTCAAATCTGAACCTACCCAAAAATGGGTAAACTGTGTTGGGAGTGACAAGTTGACATATTAACAACATTGACATGAATCCGATCGCTGTTGTTCATTTGTCAACTTTTCACTCCCAACACAGTTAACCCATTTTTGGGTAGGTTCAGTTTTGACCAATCTAAGTGGATTGTACCCAAATTTGGGTAGTTTTGAAATAGCGTGTACCTCTGGTACCGGGTTGTTCTAAAGCCCTCTAGTTAAAGTATGGACGACTGTCATCACAAAACTGAAAAAAGCTTTTCCATTCGAGCAAAGCGGTGCATTTTGACGGTTCGATTGGAACAACTTTTGACAGACGTCCATACTTTTACTGTAGGGCTTTAGGTCGTTCTGGAGGGCGTCCCGGACGTTCCGGGATCCCGTAGAGTTCTCGTGGCCCGTGGAAGCAAGGGCAGTTTATTAGTATGTGTTCGATCGTCATTGTTGTTCTGCAGGTGTCGCATCTTTGGCTGAAGTTTGATGTTCTCGAAGCTTCCATAAAGCTCTTAGTTCTATTGAAGATCTCGATTCTGCTCGGAACAAAATGGAATTCCCGTAAACACTTTTAAATTTCCCTGAAATTCTCTGGACTTCTACGGAGTTTCTGATATATTTCTGAAGGTGTCTGTACTTCCCCGAAATTCTCGGAACATCTTAAGGGTTCTCGATTCTTTTTCAGCACATCATGACACTATTCTTCTCAGTTCCAGATTGTTAAAAAAATCCAATTCTGTTTTTTTCGTCTAAATCTAGGATCACGAAGATTTTAAAAGCCCAATGTCGAAAAAATGTCATGGGCTAAGACTCTCAAAAAATGTCAAAGCCTCCGAACCTTGTAAATTTTATCATTTTTTTTATTTATTTATTTAACCACCATCTTTGACATTTTAGCCATAAACGCTGTCCATACTGGAGAGTTATAACATGTTATAACGGTTGTCAAAAAATTGCAACACAGAAACCACCATCAAGATAGCGCTATAACATGTTATAACTCTGTAGTCTGAACGTACTAATACAGACTGTTTAAAGCGACTTAAAACACTGTCCAGACTGAGCAGTTATAACATGTTATAACGGTTGTCAAATAATTGCAACACAGAAACCACCATCAAGATAGCGCTATAACATGTTATAACTCTGTAGTCTGAACGTACTATAATCCTATTCTTAAAAACTGGTCTACTTATATTAAAATCAAAAACATCACACTCATCATTAAACAGTCGGCGATTTGTTAGTGTTTGCAGTCCAATAAGTGCACATCTATGCTCGTACGGAGGTAAGCTATCTGGATTTGTCCATGGCAGACGTCGTAATGCAAACTTTATAAACTGTTTCTAGATTCTCTCGATGCGCAGTACATGAGCAGCATGATATGGAGCCCAAATTTGTACTCCATATTCAAAAACACTGCGGGCCATAGAGCAGTACAACGCTTTCAGGGCGTACACGTCGTCGAATCTAGCATGGAGTTGGCCTTTGCAACTGTCACGGATATGTGCTCGTTAAACCGTAGTTTACTGTCTAAGATGAGCTCAAGATCCAATAGCATTAACCCTTTCCAGCGGCGATTGATTCATAGAGTAATCAAAAATTATCGGAGAGTGAGAGCGGGTAAGGGTAATCACTTTGCATTTGGCAGCATTGGCTTGCATTCCATTCATCTGACACCAGGATGACAATCGCTCTATATCAGCTTGTAGTGCGCAACAATCCACGATCGATTTGATCACACGGTACAGCTTAGGATCATCCGCATATAGCAACCTACAGGAACTTAGCATATCACACAAGTCGTTA